TTTACATGGAGGACTCTAAAAACAAGCAACAGTCAGCCAAAAACAAATTAAAGAAAAAAGCTCACACAACAGAACACACTGGATTGGTGGTTGCTGGAGGAGGAAGAAATGGTGAAACGGTTCAAAGGTACAAACTTAAGTCATAGGGGAATGTGTAATGTGCAGTGTGGTAACACAGTTAATAATATTTGTATTGTCTATTTGAAAGTTGTTAGTTCTCATTATAAGAAAAATTTTGGTGTGGTGACAATGTTAACTAGACTTACTATGATCATTTCACAGTGTATAAAAATACCAAATTACTATGTTGGTACCTGAAACTAATATAATGTATGTCAGTTCAGTTCAGTTGTTCAGGCGTGTCCAACTCTTTGCAACTCATGGACTACAGCACACCAGGTTTCCCTGTCCATCACCAACTCTCTGAGCTTGCTCAAACTCATGTCCATCGTGTTGGTGATGCCATCCAACCATCTCATCCTCTGTTGTCCCTTTCTCCTCCTGCCTTCAATCTTTCCCAGCATCAGGTTCTTTTCCAAGAAGTCAGTTCTTCGCATCAGGTGGCCAAAGTATTGGAGCTTCAGCTTCAGCATCACTCCTTCCAATGAATATTCAGGACCGATTTCCTGTAGGATGGACTGGTTTGCTCTCCCTGCAGTCCAAGGGACTCTCAAGAGTATTCTCCAACACCATAGTTCAACAACATCAAATCTTCAGCGCTCAGCTTTCTTTATGGTCCAACTCTCACATCCATACATGTCTACTGGAAAAACCGTAGTTTTGACTAGACGGACCTTTGTTGGCAAAGTAATGTCTCTGCTTTTTAATATGCTGTGTAGGTTGGTCATAGCTTTTCTTCCAAGGAGCAGGGGGTCTTTTCATTTCATGGTTGCAGTCACCATCTGCACCCTAGCTGCAGTCTCATCCATGTGCCTTGCAAGCTCCTTTCTCTAGGACCTTGGGGGGTCAGCTCCGGCTGCTGCTGCTGCTTCCTTCTGGGTTCCCGGCCGCCTCTCGTCCTCCCGGCCCCAGTTCTGACCGCACTTCCTCCTCTTCTCCCACTACCATCCCTGAGACCATGGGAGGCTTCATATCATGCGGGTCTTCCCGGTCTTCCAGACTGTGAAAGCGTCATCAGGCTGCAACCCCCTCCCCCTCCCACCCCCAGCCGAGGCTCCAGTCTTGAGCGCTGTGGATGAATCAGACTCTGCGCCGGGATCTGCGCGGATGCCCTCGTCGGGGGTAGACCTGGGGCTAACCGCCGGGGCAGGTCGTCTTTGGGGCGCCTGGTCCCGGTTACAGCGGTTATAGCGAGTGTGTCGCCGGTCCAATGTGTAACTGCTCCTGGTTAGGCGCCCCCGCTTCCTCCCTGGCGCCCCTCCCTGACGCTTCTCCCTGCCTCCCTCGCACCCCCCGCCCTCCCCATTTGCCTTTTTTTTTCTTACTTTGTGCTCAGCTTTTATGCCTAAAAGCCTATGACCCTCTTTCTGATTGAATTTTAAAAATTTGAATTGATATTTTTCCTCTAGTAATCTTGGAATGGATATCTGGGATTTCTGATGAAGCAGCCAATCTCCAATCCAATTCTATGGAAGAATCCATGGATTGACCCTCAAAATGAAGACTTTTGTGGGTAAAAGAGACATGATTTTATATTAATATTTTATAAATGTTACAAAACATATTTACTAAGAATCAGGAAATGTGCGTTAAAACTTTAGCTCTACTGCTTAGAAATTGTATATAATTTAGAACAAGTGACATAACTTTTCAGGCCACTCTTGTTTAATTTGTAACCTAAAGCAATTGGACCAGATCAGTTAGCTTTTGTTAAGATGCATCATAAGGATATCGAAAACTAGTATTTCATGAGATATTATTTGTTTTACAGGAGTAAAGTGTTTAAGTCAAATAAATTTTGGAAATGCAAACTGCAATCAGCGTGAACATTACTTAATAAAAAGCCCTTAGAATTCCTGAAGAATTTATTGAATTTTTACATGTAGAATCTAAAATGTCACAAATGAATTTATCTTTGAAACAGACACAGACTCACAGACATAGAGAATAGACTTGGTTGCCAAAGGGGAGGGGGTTGGGGGAGTGATGGATTGAGAGTTTGAGATTAGAAGATGCTGCTTCTACTGCTGCTGCTGCTAAGTCACTTCAGTCGTGCCCAACTCTATGTGACCCCACAGACGGCAGCCCACCAGGCTCTGCCGTCCCTGGGATTCTCCAGGCAAGAACAATGGAGTGGGTTGCCATTTCCTCCTCCAGTGCATGAAAGTGAAAAGTGAAAGTGAAGTCGCTCAGTCATGTCCGACTCTTTGCAACCCCATGGACTGCAGCCCACCAGGCTCCTCCATCCGTGGGATTTTCCAGGCAAGAGTACTGGAGTGGGGCGCCATCGCCTTCTCCGTAGAAGATGCTAATTACTATTATATATTTTATATAATTATTATATATTATTAAGCTATTATATATAAAATAGAAAAACACCAAGATTCTACTGTATAGCACAGGGAACTATTTCAGTATCCTGTAATAAATCATAATGGAAAAGAATATGAAAAAGAATATATATAACTGAATCACTTTGCCATATACAAGAAACACACAAATTGTAAATTAACTATACTTCAATATATTTTTTAAAAAGAATTTATTAAATTTTATTTAACCCAGAATTTCCCCAAATTATTTGAGCACAGAATTCTTGTTTCCCACACAGGACAAGCATTAAGATGACAGGGGACACTAATCTTCTCCAAACTGTTTAGCAAATATTGATTAATCTGAACGTAATATATTGGAGATAAGATCATTGTTCTTGATATCAGGTTTCTACTGGGGTGGTAATCACAAGATTGGAAAGGGGAATCAAAATGAAAAATGCTGTAAAGGCAGAACGGGCGGGTCTTGGCCAGGATAGGCCCCTGTCACTTCAACATTGATAAAGTTGATTCTGATCTTGGTTTCTTAAGAAAGTGGTGGTGTTAATCATGATAAAATGCAGGAGGAGGAGCAGGTTTATGAAGAAAGGTAGAGCTCAGTATAAGTCATCCTAAATACACACTGTTCCCTATCTAGCCCACAGGACTTTCCTCCCCTCTCTTCTTAGACCCTTGCTATAAGAAATGATGTTGTTTCTTAGGAGACTGTATCTCACTTTTCATTGACTAATCCATGTTCTCTGATATTCATCATGCAAAAGGGATATATAAATAAAAAGTCAACTCAGGTGCTGATAAGGGTGATTCCATCAGTATATCATCAATATAAATTTAGAAATTAATTTACTTAAAATAGAGAAATGCAAAAGGCATAACAACACTTTTAAAGCATGTAGACTTAAATGCCACTTTGGAAGAAGAAGGCTTATGGAGACATTCTTAACCTGTGATTAAACCAATTATGTTCAGTTGTATTAGATTCTTGTGCAAATAAAAACTTAGTTAACTACATACTATCTTAAACATATAAGGAAAATAAATAGATGGTCTCTTAGTTAATCTGTCATTTTAGAATGTGAAACTAATGTGGGAGGTGCCAGAGCATCCTGGTTAAGGCTGTGGAAAGAAGATGGAATTGATGATGTCTTGGAAGAAATGACATTTTTTAAAGAATATTCCTTGGCAAGATAAGTAGATTTCAGTTTATGGAAAACATACTTTATGTTTTAGTTAATGAGAAACTGGTAGATTGAATCATTGTGCCCAGTGTTTCATGAATTTTTTGTTACAATTAGTCATTCATGTCCTTTGCCACTTTGACTCCGCCATTCTTGCCAGTGTTTCTTTAATTGGTAAAGTTGGGCTTGGTTATATGACTTATTTTGGTCAGTAGAATGTGAATGGAAGTGACAGGGCCATGTCCGGGCCAAGACCTGAAGAGGTATCCTGCATTTTCTGTCCCTTTTGTGTCCCTTCTACTCAGAACACGGCTTAGGAAGCCACCAGACAAGGAGAGTGGAGATAATGGAGCAGACCTGCACTTGACCTACTGCCTGAAATAGAGATACTAGCGGACTTGAGACCCATGAACATGAAAATCAATGTTTCTTGTGGTAAGCCACTGAAATTTTGAGGTCATAAGAAATTTAAAAACAAAACAAAACTAGTACAAACTGAAATACCTGGCTAGTACAGGCTAATTGTGAGCAACTTGTTATGTTCAAACAAGATAGCAATTATCAGACTCTGAATAAGACAGGGATAAAACCATTTTGGTGAAATTCAGCTCGTCTTTCAAACTGACAATACATGAGAATGTATTTTAATAGTAACTTTACTATTATATGGTAAACTTTGTGAGCTCTTAAGAGACTAATCTTTATTTTAATTTTTAAATTTACACTTTGACTATAGAATATAAGCATCCAAATTATCTTGTATTATCTTTAAATCCAGATTAAATTTCCTAAAGTTTAGGGTTAATCATCAAGCATCTTGTTCTGAATGACAGGCATCTCTATTGTCACAAAAAAATGCAACAAAACCTGAGGAATAATGTGAAATCCTGAGCTGGGATGTTAAAAGCTGTTAAGGATAGTGTTAAACTTCATATATAATAAATAATAGCAAGGATGTTATAGCACCTATAGCTGTTTAAAGAAAGTTTCCCCTGCCCCCAGAGAAAGACAAAGTATTATTACCTGTATTTTTTTAGCTTTGAATGTACTTTTTGATATGTGCTGTTTAATATGGTAGCCACTAGTCACACATAGCTATTGCGCTCTTAAAATATAGTCCTGATTAGGATGTGCTCTAAGTGTAATATACACAACATATTTCAAAAACTTAATATTAAAAAATAAGAAATCTCATTAATAACATATTAATTACATGTTGAAATGGGCTCTAGGCACCTTCATTATAAGTATCTTTACCATTGACATCTCTGCCACAAGCGTTTTTGCGGCAAATATTTTCATCAAATAACTCATTGCCTATGAGGCACATTCTCCATGAAAGATAAAATAACTGAAGTGAGAGTTTTTGGTTTGACAGTTTGGTTTCAGCTGGTTGAAATGTGTTAGCATTTCTTCTAGTTGGCAATATTATCGATGGCTTTATTGAGCTGGCATATGACAGTGATTTGTCCCAAGAGTTGGTTTCTTATTTTAAAACACTACTTTGGAGGAGAAAGAGGCCACAGTCCTAGAAGGTGGAGAGGGAAACCCACATTTCCCACATGACTTTGGAATGTCTGTCAATGGACACGTGACAATATGTCAAGAACAAACAACACCTGCGTAGAAGCTTTCACAACACAGCACAAAGCTCAGTTACAAAGATACCTCTAAGTACTTGGAAACTTATATCGTTCTTTATGAAGGAAGAAATTTTAGTGAACAAGAAAAAGTATGATGCAGAATGAGGAGACAAACCAATGAGCCAAAAAAAAAAAAAAAAACACCCGTATAAAATGCTATGAATGAAAGACTTGGAAGACAAGTACTTAGGTACAACCTGCAAAATAAAATAAGCTATTTGTACAGTATTGCCATGAATCTACACACATTTCAAATGTACTCAAACATTTTATATTTCACAATGTCTTGAATTTTGTTATTATTTCATTGTGTCCTTTAATTGCCCCTCTTTTACTTTCCATTATTTTATCTTTTATGGCAAAATTGCTTCCGAGCCAATTACTGCAGTGGAAATGTGTCCACAAGTGCTTGTGGCAAAGATGTCTATGGCAAAGATGCTTAAAGCAAAAGTACGTAGAAGCAGCAGTAACACTTGTAGATGTGGTTCCTGGCACATTTTGTTGTGTAAATACCATGACACCAAAAAGGCATGCCACTCTCACTCATGAAGTTCTCTCACTAAATTAGATCCTGGGACAGTAAGATACAGCATGGCTTTAGTGAGCATCTCAGTGAGCATCTTTGTGGTGCAGCTGGTTAGCATGTTTAGTAAAATGGAAAGGTTGATGGTTCATGTCTACCTCAGGATGGTCTTATACCCAGCCAATTTCTTGGTGATGAAAATATTCTGGAGCTGGATAGTAGTGACAGTTGCACAGCATTGTGAATGTACTAAATGCCACTAAACTGTTTATGTTATAATGGTGAATTTTAGGTTCTATGCCTTTTACCACAATAAAAACCAACCCCAGGAGATGTTTTGGAGGACGCATTTTTCCAACCTTATGTTGTAACTGTATTTTTCTTCCTGACATGTGTACACCTACTAAATAATATGCCCTGATGTCTGAATGCCTATATATATGTACAGCAGCTTTTAAAATAATCTCTGGTATGGGTGTCCCACTCTGTAGCATTTTTGGCATCACCCGGGAATATGTGACTTAGGCAAAAACCCTCTTTTGGCTTGGATTAGCTATTGTATTTACTGCCTGAGCACAGAAATTCCTTTGCAAGACTCTTTTGCCCTAGCACACATTTGCTTAGTCTATAAAATTTTCCCATGGAAAGAGCAGGCTGGGCTTGGGTGTGTGTCTGTCTTCTTCAAAAGCATTGTATGGCTTTCTTAATAAATGGGAAACAGGTCTGTAAGATCACAAATGTATTAGTTCCCAAGATTCTTCTTTTAGCCTGGGCAGCTTCCCAGCACAGGACTCAAGATTCTCAGTTCTTTTGGACAAAGTCAATATTGTTCTTTTATAAAGCAATGATCATGAAAGGAGGCAGGTCTTTAAGACCTACACAAACAAAGAGTACAAAAGAGAAAGGGGGGACGTTTGGAAAGACTCACAAAAAAGACAGTGTCTGCCAGGAAGTCTTTGAAGCAGAGGGTGGTGAATACCTCCCACGGAGAGGCTTTAGCAAAAGCCAAGGAAGCCTCATGCTGGTCAAGACTGGCCTTGGTGAGCAAGAAGTGGTGACCTTGTGCACCACAGTGGAGAAAAGTGCTTCCTGGGCAAGTTTTCTCGCTCCAGCCAGAAGATTTCAGCTACTCCTGCTATATCATGTCTTTCCTGAAATACGAAGGCTTGTGAAAGACAAGTATGCCTATGATGATCACTGCAACCAGGATCAGGGAGAAGAGGACCATGAGGAAGACATAGGTGGAGTGGGAGAGGGGTGCGGACATTGGCTCTTCAGCTGGAATCTTGTTGGTCAGGTTCAGCATGTAGCCCAAAGTCCACCCAACGCTGGTGCTCCGGATCTGCAAACAGTGGGGAAAGTGTTGTTTCTGGTTTGAGGATTAAATGAGCTTTCATTCAACGCTACCCAAAACACTGAACCACCAGAAAGTGAAAGCACCACGTTCAGTTCTCTAAAGGGATTACTTCTATATTTTGAATTGGGAATATGGCTGTGAGGAAACAGGAGCAAGTGATTAGAAGGAGAGTGTGGGGCCGCACTACTGTATTCCCCAAATTCAGAGAGGAATTTGGTGAATGATGACTCAGTTCTCCTGCCAAGAAGAACTTAATTCAAATTAGGCCTTTGGAAGTTTGCATTCCTCTTTTGCTGTTTGTGTGAATGTGGGTGGGTGGGGTGCGGAAGGGGGCTGGAGGCTGACAGGAAGCAGGCAAAAGATGAGAGACTAATGACTGTCCCTGTCCTTGTGCATCCACGTCAGGCCTAGGAATTTCATCCATACAAAACCAGGGTTTCTGTTATGATTCAACTAGGGAAAAACTGGGGAATAATCCCAATCAAGTCAGTCTTACTCGACGGATGTTCAAAGACATTACATATGCATGAGAAAGGATCATTCTCAAATGAAAAAACATTCTCCAACCCTGCTCTCTTCCTAGGGATATTTTCAAATCACCTCAAAACGTATTGAAATATAGGTCGTCTCTGAATAATAAAGAATTGTGGAAATGTTGCTATTACATGAGTTGTATGTGGTCATGGTAGGAAAATCGCGAAGTACAGATATCTTCTTTTCGAAGATAAAACCACCTCTGCTTCAGCAACCAAAAGTGGTGGTAATAACAATTTGGGGCAAAACCCAACAAACCCCCCGGGCAAAATTTTTGCAAAAAAAAAAGTGGAATTAAATTGCATGTAGAATTCACTTAACAATTCTTTGTAAGTATTATCCCACATCTCTTTAAGGGATTTCTGCAGCATCATCACTGGTATGAACTGCCTTATATGGTCATTTTTATTCACTTTATTCAATTATTTATAAATCCTAGAAATGGAGTAGTTAGACAAAGTGATGTACATATTTTAAGGCTTCTAGCACATATTGCCAAAACAGTCTTCCCAAAGGTTATGCCAGTTTACATTCCAGCCAATACCATGTGAAATGCTTCTCTCCCCTAAGCCTTTACCAGTACTGGGAATTAATAATTTGTAAAATGCCCACTTCCTTTTATGGGAAACTGGAACTTTATCTGACTGCCTGTGTCAAAGAAGCCTCCAAAGTTACTGGAGTTATCACCTAGGGTTTAGAAATAACAGATCATAGTTTGTACCTCAGAGAATATAAGTCTGACATAGACATCTCTCTCAAACAGACAAACTGTGATGGAACAGAAGGAAAACTTGGATGTTAAAACAAGGAAAAGATTCAAATTAGCAAAGTCAATATTGACAAGAGTGTGATGAAACTAGTATTTTCAAGGCCACCACAGTCCTCTGCCTTAATGCTTTGTTTTGCTTGAAGTCACCATATTTAATAAAGGGGTAAATTGTTTTTGCCATTAATTAGTATGAGTTTAAAAGGTAGAGAAACACTGTCCTTAATATTTTTCATCAGGCACAAGTATGCTCATGTGTCTCACTGCCAATGTAAATGTTGCTCCAGGCCTGAATGCCTGCAGGTGATGCTGTGGTAATGCACAGCCATGAGGTTGCTTCTTTAAGGCTTATGCTAAGCCTGATTTTTTAAGCAAAGGCCCGCATGCACAGTCACTCCTCTCATTCCTCACAGTGAGCTTTCAGATTGGTCATTCTTAAAGCTTCAACCAACAAGGCCTTCACCGCTTATGAGAAACTATGATCATCCTTTCTGGATTCATGAAGGGGCCCTTGGGTTGGATGTTGAAGTCAGCACACAGAATCACTGCGGCTGTTGAAATGCTGTTATATTACTTTAATATCTCATATTTTGTCTTATAAGGGTTAGTCACTGTTATATGAGCAGAAAGGTGAGGCTGAGGATGCAAGTAGACCTCCTTAGATAGGAAGCCCACAACTGGCTGGTCAACATACCAGGAGAGCCAGACACGAAATGCCAGCTTGGGTTAGAGGTGAGGTGGCAGAACAGGACATCAGTCCAAAATTTAAACCAGGTTGACTCCTACCTCTTTCAAACTCAAAGCTGTCTCAGTCACTACCAGCCAACTTCCCCCTTAACCCAACAAACCTTGTTCATGAAGTGAAGAGTTTTCCAGGACTCGTCTGTAAAATGGTAGCCGTTCTGGAGGAGAGCCAGGATGTAGGTGCCAGAGAAGCAGTATTCACTCAGGTACGCCTCCTTCACGTCGCCAAAACTCAGACGCACCTGGATGCGAAGTGGAGAAAACAGCATCCTTGTACAGCAGGCCCTTCTCCTTAGCCGTCACGTTCGCTATGGAGCTGGTCAAGGGAGTAGAAAGCCCCAGCTCACAGGGGCCTGAGGTTGGCCTCTGCAGAGGGCTTTGGGAGTGGTGCTGCATGCCTTTGATGGGTGCATGGGTCTTTAGGGTTTGTTAAGGAATCTTTTCCTCCACAGGGTTGTATGACACGTTAATAAGTGCTCCAGGAGGAAAAAAACAAAACAAAACCTAGTTTCTGCGGTCTAATAGGTTCAATAACACTGAATTTTACTATATTTTTTCATCCCTTGTGAAACTTGTGTTTCACAATCACATTTCTCATACATGTTCAAAACTGTGAAAAAATCTTACATGAAAGAAATCATTAATTTTTGTTTAATGAGCTTGTCCACTTATACACACATCTATTCAATAAATATAGTGTCTGTATTTTCATTTTACAGATATTTAAGTGTGGGGAAAATTTGATCTTTGTTAAGACATTGCAACATGTAGAATCAAAAGAACTAGGGTTGGAGTCCTGACTCGACCCATACCGTCTGTTTCCTGCCCTTTTGTTGTTGTTTAGTTACTAAGTCGTGTCTGACTGCAACCCCATGGACTGCAGCACGCCAGGCTCCTCTGTTCTCCACTATCTCCCATAGTTTGCTCAGACTTATGTCCATTGAGTCAGTGATGCCATCCAACCATCTCATCCTCTTTCTCCCCTTCTCCTCCTCAGTCTTTCCTAGCATCACAGTCTTTTCCAGTGAGTTGGCACAGTTAACGTGCGACAAACACTGCTTTGGAACCCAGTTCAGGAAGCATTTTGCTCAAGAATCCAAGATGCTCGTCTTTGTCCACAGATCACCAGCAGCTGCAAAAAACCTCCCCTCTTGTAAAGGGCTGAGAAATATCTTAGCTGCTCTTTCTGAAAGCCCTGAATACCCTCCTTCATGTCCCAACTCAGACAAAATACTTAAGAGAAAATTCCAAATGTCCAGGCTCTTGCATAACCTTCAAATGTCCTGGCTCTTGTACAATCTTCCTTCCTCAGTTGTCAGTGCCCAAGAGAACAGCATTCATTTTCAATTAATCGCATATCTTCAGAATGAAAGCACCGTGCATTTTGCAAGTGTTGACTTAAAACAGCTGCTGTATTTAGCCACTCCTAGGTGATCTGTTTTTTAGAGCAGAGTTAACTCCATATCTTTCTCTTACATCCCTGGAAATTTTCATCAGGTAGCACTGCATCTTGAATGACTCAGTGCCTCAGACCAGAAAAAACTTGCGCTTCTATTATAACCAGGATATATATTGAACCTGTCTGATGGAAAAATGGTCTGACCACAGTGGTGTCTGTGGCAGATTCTGTGAGCTGCCTGTCGTCCTCAGGGTTAAGGGAAGTCGTGGAAGACTAATGTGCTCAGCTCCAGGAAGTAGCTCATCATGGATCTAGGGCTCTAAGCCAGTCGTAAAATCCTGCATCCTGCTTTCTCAGCCAGCCCTGGCCAATGAGATGTAAGAGAAAAGACTACTAAGGAGCTTCTGGGCCAGCTTTTGCTTTCCTGTAAAAAGGAACTGATGTATCTGGGTGTGATCACTGAAGTTACACCTTGCTTCCATGAGGAAAGCGGCCTGACAACAACCGAAGAATGATTGAAGATGGTCAAGCTGCTGAACCCATGCCAGCAACTGCCTATTGCCACACTTCAAATTAAGTGAAAATCATTAAAACCTTTTTTTGTTTAATCCATTGTATGGCCAGTTATCATGGAATGCCAGTGAGTTTATTCCTAACTGAGTGTACCGTCTGGGCCTCTCTAACATGTGTTGGATCTTGGTCACATTAGCACAATGTGAAGAGCAGACTCACGTCCTCCCTTCCATCAAGGGCACAGGGCGATGGTAACAATGATAACAGCTGCTGTTTCCAGTTGCTTACCTCTTCCCAACTCTGAGTGCAGAACTCTTCCAACTTCTCAGTCAACTTTTTCGTAGATATATGTTCCTGTGATGTAAGGTTTAAAAACTCCATCACATAGTAAAAAGCTGAAAATGCCTACAAGAGAAAAGTGCTGAGTTTGGTGCAGTGTCCAACACAGAGGGGCATTGATTCACTCTCCAGAAGGCCAAACCCCTAGGGAAAGTGCCTAGAAATCTCTGAGGAATAGATCATCGATCAGGTGATATTCCAGACCCAGGAACTGCTTCCTTTCTGGAAGGTGTCACTTTGCCACTGACAGGCATTTCTGAGCTCTTCGGTAGCTAATTTTCTCTAAGATCAGGGAGAAAGAAAGAGAATCAGGGAGAAAGAAAGATAGGGAAAAGAGAAGATAAAAGAGAGAGGAAGAGGTCAGAAAAATCCCGTCTTTAAAAAGCTATTATGTATGAAATTTTAATAAATAAAGCCTGGAAAATTCTATACAGAGGTAATGGAAGTGATCTCTAGCAAAATTATAAGGTGTTTTTTTCTTTTTATTTATGAAATTTTGGGCCTATTTTTATAATGTACAAGTACTTTCTTTAAATAGCCAATGTTTATTTAACAGATACTTTTTGCATGTCTATCATGAGCTAGGCACAACTTAAAAGTTTAAAAAAAATCATCATCATCATATATGAAAACTATATAAAAAGTTAAAGAGTGAGTTAAAAGGAGTAATGAAAATAAAACCCAAAATAACCAAATGGGACCTTAAAACTTAAAAACATTTGTACAACAAAGGAAATTATAAACAAAACAAAAAGACAACCTGCAGACTGGGGAAAATATTTGCAAATGATGTGACCAACAAGGGATTAACGTCCAAAATATACAAATGTAAGGCTTAATATATATATATATAAAAATCAAAACATGGTCAGAAGACCTAAATAGACATTTCTCCAAAGAAAACATACAGATGGACAACAGGTACATGAAAAGATGCTCAGTATTGCTAATTATTAGAGAAATGCAAATCAAAATTGCAATGAGGTATCACCTCACACCAGTCAAAATGGCCATCACTAAAAAGTCTACAAATAATACATGCTGGAGAGGGTATAAAGAAAAGGGAACCCTCCTGTACTGTTGGTGGGAATGTAAATTGGTGTAGTCACTATGGAGAACAGTAGAGAGGTTCCTTAAAAAAAACTAAAAATGGTGTTACCATAAGATCCAGCAGTCTCACTCTTGAGCATATATTCAGAGAAAATTCTAATTTGAAAAGATACATGCACCCCAGATTTCAAAACAGCACTGTTTACAACAGCCAAGACATGGAAGCACTCTAAATGTGCATCAACAGATGAATGGATAAAGAAGATGTGGTATATATACACAGTGGAATCATACTCAGCCTAAAAAGAATGAAATAATTCCATGTGGAGCAACATGGATGGACCTAGAGATTATCATACTGCATGAAGTAAGTCAGAAAGAGAAAGAAAAATATCAAATGATATCATTTATATATGAAATCTAAAAAAAAAAATCATACAAAGAACTTACTTACAAAATAGAAACAGACTCAAAAGACATAGAAGACAAGCTTATGGTTATCAGAGAGGGAAAGTGGGGAGACGGGGAGGGATAAATTAGGAATTTGTTATTAATATATACACACTACTATATATAAAACAGATAAACAAGAAGGACTTACTGCAGAACACAGGGAACTATATTCAATATCTTATAGTAACCTATAGTGGAAAAGAATTTGAAAAAGAATATATTTATATATAAATAAAATCACTCTAATGGCTAATGGGAACACTCTAATGGTTACTTGAGAGTCCATAATGTTAATGTATCACAGTTCATTCAACAGCTCCCTGCTGGTGAGCATTCCTTTGATTCCGGTATTTTTTCCTATAAGCAATGTTGCTGTCAATACCTCTGTACATTAAGCTTGTGAACTGGTGTGCTCATCCCTCAGTGGAAGATGAGCTCCGTAGACACTCAAAGGCAGCCTCCACATCCTTTGAACTTGGGAATTCCAACACTTTAAATATTGTATGCCAGTTACAGAACAAGATCATGGTGTAGTCTTATTTCTATCATCTTAACCCAAGCCATCATCATCTCCTGTGTGGACACTGCAATGACTTCTTGTTGGTCTCCTATGTTACCTTTCTAGTCCTATCCCAACCCATCCTGAACTGGCAGTCATAGGAATCTTTTAAAAACAAATTCAATCATATCACTCTTCTGCTTACAGCCTTCAGAGACTAAATTCTACCAGATGTCTCAAAGCCACACATGTTCTAACCCCACCTTCTAGACCAATACCATCTCATACCACTGCCCACTCACCCACCACATCCCAGCCACCCAGGCCTTCAAGCATGCCAAACTTTTCTTCCCCCTCAGTTATATAATTGCTTTTCCCTCTATTGGAGTTCACTTCTGTGGCTCCTCTTTAGAGGGATCTTCTAATCACCCACCTAGACTAGGATGCTCTATTATCCCTCTTACAGTACTTTTTTTCTCCACAGCAGTTGCCACAGTTTGACTTGCTTTGTCTGTATCTCTGGTCTCTTGTCTGCCTGTCCTCTAGAACACCAACTCCATGATGTCAGGATCACATCTGCCTTGGCTCTCAGATGAATCTGCAGCACTCACATGGCACTTAGCACATGAAAGAGTTCTATAAATGTGTAAATGGCAGAAAACTACCCTCTCCTAATTCCTAGAGCTCTGGCTAGAATGTAAGAGATACTTGGCAAATCTCTGTTGAGGGACTGGATAAGTCCAGAGACTGGATAGTTATAATATGCATTTTCTGAGGAGCTTGTATGCTCAGTTGTGTCCCACTCTCTGCAACCCCATGGACTATAGCCCACCAGGCTCCTCTGTCCTTGGAATTTTCCAGGCAAGAATACTGGAGTGGATTGCCTTTTCTTACCCCAGGGATCTTCCTGACCCAGGGATCGAACCCAAGTCTCCTGCATTGCAGGTGGATTCTTTACTGCTGAGCCACTGGGGAAGCATAATATGCATAGTGGATGCCTGAAAAGGTTCTCCTCTATTAATTAAAACTATTAAGAGTGTTTTCCCCCAGTGAGCTGACTGTGGGGCAGGAAGGAAGGAAAGAATTAAGTTTTTATTGTAAACTTTATATTTTTATTATAAATAAATTTAACATGAGATCTACCCTCTCAACAAATGTTAATGTATACAGTGAAGTACTGTTAACTCTAAGGACAAAGCTGTACAGTAGATTTCTAGACGTTAATCATCTTGCATAGCCGAAACTTTATGCCTATTGATTAGCAACTCCCCATCTCTTGCCTCCATCAAGCCCCTGGCAACCACCATTCTACTCTCTGATTGAGTTTGTAAGTTTGATTATTTTAGATATCTCATGTAAGTGGAATCTGCATTATGTTTCTTTTTGTGAGTGGCTAATTTCACATAGCTAATGTCTTCAAATGCCATGAAATCAGAAGATGATAGCTTCTTGGCAGGAAAGCGATGACAAACCTAGACAGTGTGTTGAAAAGCAGATATTACTCTGCTGACAAAGGTCCGTATAGTCAAGGCTGTGGTCTTCCAAGTGATCACGTATGGTTGTGAGAGTTGGACCATAAAAAAGGCAGAACGCCAAAGAATCGATACCTTTGAACTGTGGTGCTGGAGAAGACTCCTGAAAGTCCCTTGGACAGCAAGGAGATCAAACCAGTCAATCTTTAGGGAAGTAAACCCTGAATATTTACCAGAAGAATTAATGCTGAAGCTCCAGTATTTTGGTCATCTGATGTGAACAGACAACTCATTAGAAAAGTCCCTGATGCTGGGAAAGATTGAGGGCAGAAGGAGAAGAGGGTGTCAGAGAATGAGATGGATGGACAGCATCACCAATGCAGTGAAAATGAACTTGGGCAAGCTCCAGGAGATGGTGAGGGTCAGAGAGGCCTGGTGTGCTGCAGTCCATGGGGTCACAAAGAGTCAGACATGACTGGGCAACTGAACAACAACAACAATGTCTTCAAGGTTCATTTTTGTCTCGTGTCACAGGATTTCCTTCTTTTTAATGCTCAATAATATTCTGTTGTATGTATATACCACATTTTAAAAAAATCCATTCCTCTTCCAACATTCATCAATAGACATTTAGGTTGTTTCCACACCTGGGCAGATAAACACCCAAAAGAAAGATTGCTTGATCATATGATAGATATATTTTTGATTTTTTGAGGAACCTCCATACTCCTTTACATAGTGGTCACATCCACAATATACAAAGGGGTCCATTTTCTTCACATCCTCACTACACTTGTCTTTTGCTTTTTCTTTGATAATATCCATTCTATCAGGTATGAGGTGATACCTCATTGTGATTTTGATTTGCATTACCCAGATTGTTAGTGATGTTCTGCACCCTCATATATACCAACTAGCCATTTGTATGTTGTCCTTGGAGAAATGTCTATTCAAGTCTGTAGTCCATTTTTAATCGAGTTAGTATTCTTCTTGCTGTTGGGTTGTTGGAATTTCTTATATATTTTGGAAATCTACCTCTCATCTGATACACAGTTTGCAAATATTTTCTACCATTTTGTAGGTTGCTTTTTTACTCCGCTGATTGTTTCCTCTGCTGTGCATAAACTTTCTGGTTTGATGTAGTCTCAGTTACCTATTTTTGCTTTTGGTGCCTGGGCTTTTGGTGCCACATCTAGAACTCACTGCTAAGACCAATATCATGAAGCTTTTCACCTATATTTCCTTCTTGGAATTTTACAGTTTCAGGTCTTGTGTTAAAGTCTTCAGTCCATTTTGAGTTGATTTTTGTGAATGCTGTAATATACAGGTCCAACTTCATTCTTTTGCATATGGATATACACAGCTTCCCAGAAACCATTTACTGAAGAGACTATTCTTTCCCCATTGTGTACTCTTGGCACCCTTGTCAAAGATCAGTTAATCATATATATGTGGGTTTTTTTTTTTAAGGACTCTATTCTGTTCCATTGGTCTATATGTTTGTCTTTATGCCAGCACCATGCTGTTTTTATTACAGCACCTTTAATTAAATTAAATGTAATATATTTAAAAATCCACAAGTGTGATACCTCCAGGTTTGTTTTACTTTCTCAGGATTGTTCTGGCTTTGTATGGTCTTTTGTACTGCAAATGAATTTTATATATATTTTTCTATTTCATTAAAAAACACCACTGGGATTTTAATGGGGATTGCACTGAATGTGTGGATCACTTTTAGCAGTATGGGTACTTTAACCATGTTAAGTCTTTCATGAACAGAGGCTGTCTTTCCATTGTGTCTTCCTTACTTTCTTTCATCAGTGTTTTGTGGTTTCAGTGTACAAGTCTTTCTCTGAGGAACTAAGGGACCAAACAGAAGAGCTACCAGGAGAAGCTCAAGGCTCCTCCATGCTTTTCCAGCCCTGTCCTACCTTGATTGGGGGAATTACATTCAAAGGCAAGAAATTCCACCCTCACCCCCATCTTTCCACCCCCAACCCTGCTAAGTCAGAAGGGTTTGTCAAGCTTGAAAGCAAGAATTGGGCCATGGTTTTCAGGAGGGAAAGGTTTCAAAAAAGTTAAAAGGCAAACACAAAATAATATACCGCTTTTCCTTCAGATGTAGTTCCCAGGAGTGAGTGGAATGGAAAGGGCCCTCGGCTGTCCCCAGCATCTCTGGCAACCTTCTTCCCTTCTGTGGCACCCTCATTTCTCTTCCAGCAGCTAGATCCAAGGCAAGGAACTTGGCTCAAAAAACCCCCAAACAGGCAGCCAGTGCTATTTCAGCTATGGAGCATCCAGGTGGCAGTGTAGTTTGTTCTGAATTTGGATTTGGAGCCAACTAATGACCAAATATTACCTTGCCAGTCATTGTGCAGTCATGTATTTCCCTCAGAAAACTGGAGAGGCAGGTAAACTGTGGTCTAGGCTGTGGTTTAGGTCAGCAGGATCCATGATTTTACCCATTGCTGTTTTCCAGAGACCAGGGGAATGAAGACCTCCATATCATTAGCAAATGGTAACACAAGATTTTAAGCCAGATATGGTTACTATAGGGCCTGTGCTTTCTCCAGGAAGTTCTTTCCGCGATATTGAATTGGGCCAAGAGACCTTGGAAGAAGCTCTTCTGTTGGGGTCTGAGAGAGGAGTTGAACTCCCTTCCTCACATGCTGATCTACTTTCTGAAAAAGGGAGAGTGTGAAGGCAGACAAAAGCCCATTGTTTCTTTGAATGTAATCTTAAGTGATTGAGATAACATATATATTAGTCAATAATTAGAACTCAGTTGATGGTAGCTTGGAAGAAAAGCCTTGACCAACTTAGACAGAATATTAAAAAGCAGAGACATTACTTGGCCAACAAAGGTCCATCTAGTCAAAACTATGGTTTTTCCAGTAGTCATGTATGGATGTGAAGGTTGGACTATAAAGAAAGCTGAGCACCAAAGAATTGATGTTTTTGAACTGCGGTGTTGGAGAAGACTCTTGGAGTCCCTTGGACTGCAAGGAGATCCAATCAGTCCATCCTAAAGGAGATCAGTCCTGGGTGTTCATTGGAAGGACTGATGCTAAAGCTGAAGCTCCAATACTTTGGCCACCTGATGGGAATAGCTGACTCATTTGAAAAGACCCTGATGCTGGGAAAGATTGAAGGTAGGAGGAGAAGGGGACGACAGAGGATGAGATGGTTGGATGACATCACCAACTCGATGGACATGAGTTTGAGCAAGCTCCGGGAGTTGGTGATGGACAGGGAAGCCTAGAGTGCTGCAGTCCATGGGGTTACAAAGAGTCAGACATGACTCAGCGACTGAGCTGATGGTAGCTAATGAAACAATATACTTATAAACTGTGAGTACTATAATTCTTGGTCTTTAGGACCAAAATATGACATTTGAAATAATGAGTAGATCTAGGGGCACCTCTTCAGCCTCTGCTTAAATTTTTTTCTTATTCTGGAATAATGAAGAAAAGAAGGAATTTGGAGTCAGGATTCAAATGGTCCCCCAACTCTTCAAGATGGAATGAATATGACACTCTCTTCTTGTTTCCTTGGGACTTACTGAGTTTCTACTTCCTAAGTGTCTCTATAGAGGAAAATCCTTACCTAAGACATCTAACTGCTGCTGCTTCTTCTGACATCTGAGATGCCACCTGTGACAGATTCTAATGGGCGCCTACCCAACAGCCTTACAGATTCCTTACAATCTGGCTTACAGATTCCTGATTTTACCTGGTAGAGGAAAGCAGTTTGCTCAAGAAGGCTCCCCAGTTCCAGGGGATGAACAGTGATTGTCTAAACCAACCATGGTAACCCATTTGCCTTTATCACAGGTTGGTTTACCAAATTCTGGCTAATGGTATCTAAAAAGATGTCTGTTGACACTTCTGCAGAGTTGGAGAGAGATATATGCAAGATAAACTTCTTTCTTTCCTGCATTGGCTTTGCACAAAGCAGTAGCTGCCATCTTAGCACCACAGTAAAGCCAAGAAAATAATTGAAAAGCTGATACCAAGTCCTGACATTGTTAAGCTAAAGAACTAGCCCAGAATTATCTGTCTGAAAGCTTATTACCATGTGAGAAGATAAAGAATCCTGTTATTTAAACCCTTTGGACACACATATTCTATAATTTGCAACCAAAATCATTCTAACAAGTATATCATTATTTCACAAACTTACCCCAAACTGCCCTTGGAGTGGTGGCAAGAAAACCCCATTGAAGGAGCATCTGGAGTAAGGGCAGTAACTTGAGTTAAAGAGTTGAATGATGCCTTGTTGGCATTGTTGGAAGTTTCCAGTGCCACGGACTTCAATGTCAAAGAATGGATGGTATGAAGAAGTCGACATATATCTCCTGGCACAGAAACCTTCGTTGAAGACACTCATGTTAAGTTTCCTCAAGTATCCGGAGTGAAAGCATGGCTCATGGATGATTTCACTTGTACCCTGAAGGGGAAAAAAATCACTTAAAGGCATCACGTGCAAATGCTTTGGACAAAAGCACCAGTCTGACTTCATTAATGTATAGCAACTGAACACCATCCAGGCACTCAGCACTGGCATCAGTAGACCCCTGCTCTGTCTTTTTGACCCTTGGGAATAGTCATATTTGTTTAACAGGCACCAAAAGTGGTATCAGATGTAAATGAATTTTTGCTACTCATAGGAAGCTGATGTGGTTGAAGCTGGGCCCAGAGATTCCACTTGTTTGGATTAGCCCCGAGTACTTAGGTCAGAAGCAGACCCACAAGGAACACTCTCAAGGGTCTCAAAATTCTGAGCCTGAGGTAGTTCTCTGGGGGTCTTCCTATCTCCCCGCCCCCACCTCTAAGCCGAAAGCAAAAATCCCAAGAACTAGAAGTGCCATAAATCGTATTGACACAGGAGCATCAAAATGATTTTCAGCCCACAGCCCAACCTGTTCAAGAGAAGAAAGGGGGCTGCTGTGGACGAGAGGCTTAGTGGAGCCTTAGGGCTGCAGCCCCTCCACCCATGGCAGTCATCTTATTGATAGTGCAGAAAGCTTGGGAGGAAAGCAGAGAACTGGTTGCCCCTTGAGTAGAGACAGGGAACAGCTGCATTTGATGTTGTTGCTCTGTATTTGTCAGGGTGTTCTCAAAATCATGCATGATTTTGAGATATGCCCAGAAGTGGGATTGCTGGGTCATATGGCAGTTCTATTTCCAGTTTTTTAAGAAATCTCCACACTGTCCTCCATAGCGGCTGTACTAGTTTGCATTCCCACCACCAGTGTAAGAGGGTTCCCTTTTCTCCACACCCTCTCCAGCTTTTTTTTTTTTTTTTAAAGAACCTTGTTTTCTGCATTTTGTAGGAAGTGGAGATTGAAAAGTGGGGAAGAGCTTAAAAATTGCATGCACGCACACACACACACATACAATACTCTAGGCTTTTCATTATCAGCTCCACAGGGATGAGAAATAATTTCCAAAGAAAGGATTTGAGTCGTGTTCTTGGAGACAGTGCAGTAAACAAACATACGAGGTGATGTCTAGATGGGACAGTTGACAGGGATTGACCAGATGTTCTTAGATATCCTCCCTGAAAAAGTTTGGAAAGTACAGCAACCAACTTCAGACCAGTTATGCAGTAGAAATAGAAAACAACAAGATGTGGGGGCTGGAGGCCCCCAGTTGTTGGGAGGGTAGTCTGGATTCAGTTATACTTGCCTGAAGTCCCAGGGCCAGTTTCTGCAAGAGTGCTTGGTCCTTCCCATAGCACAGGAAGCTGTGTGTGTACACACTGTAGTTCTTGCCATAGAGGCGAAAGTACAGGTTGTTGTTTGGAGACTCGATCATTTCATTTTGGGGCACAAAAGTGATTTGTGTAGAGGCTCCCCCAAGGTCTAAGGCTCCATAGGTTTCCTGAGTATCATCTTTGCTTGGCTTCAGGTTAAACCAACTCAATTTCTGAAAGACAGTACAGTCACCAGCTGTAGAAGCCTTTGTACATCTCCCTTTTCATATGATTTCTTGGACTCAAGGACTTCCTAAGGCACAGGAGCAGGAGCATAAGGGTGATACCAAGCTTACCAGAGGTTCCTGCTGCTGCTGCTGCTAAGTAGCTTCAGTCGTGTCCGACTCTGTGCGACCCCATAGACGGAAGCCCACCAGGTTCCCCCGTCCATGGGATTCTCCAGGCAAGAACACTGGAGTGGGTTGCCATTTCCTTCTCCAATGCATGAAAGTGAAAAGTGAAAGTGAAGTTGCTCAGTTGTGTCCGACTCTTAGTGACCCCATGGACTGCAGCCTACCAGGCTCCTCCGTCCATGGGATTTTCCAGGCAAAAGTACTGGAGTGGGGTGCCATTGCATTCTCCGGAGGTTCCTGAGTCTGCATCAAATCAACAGCAAGAAAAGAGGGGCTTCAGAGACTCAGCTCAGATTGTAGCAATCCAGAGCCAGTTTACAACCGGGGGCCAGAAAGACCCAGATTCAAATCCCCACTCATTTGCTCATTAGCCACGTGACCTTAAGCAGAATAGTTACCTTGCTAGGCCTCCATTTGTGGCTTTTCAATGAGAGAACATCTCCTATAAGTATTCCAAAGATTAAATCAAATGGTATATGAAAAATGCTTTGCATGTAGCACAAGACACATAGCACTGGGAAAATAATTGATATCTTTATTTTCAATGATAGATTTTTAAGTTTTCTGTGTGTGCATGTGTGCATACAAAGTCATTTCAGTCCTGTCTGACTCTTTGCAACCATATGGACTGTAGCCCACCAGGCTCCTTTGTCCATGGGATTCTCCAGAAGAAGAAGACTGGAGTGGGTTGCCATGCCCTCCTCTAGGGGATCTTTCAGACCCTGGGATCAAACCCATATCTCTTATGTCTCCTGCACTGGCAGGCGGGTTCTTTACCACTAGCGCCACTCGGGAAGTCTGATTTTTCTACATTTCTATATTTTTTCTTTTTTCTTTATCTCTGTAAGGTGAAGTTATGGCTCATTTATTCTCCGATAGTAAGAGTAGTTGTAAGAGAATTATACCTCTGGTGACCCTTGCACATATGAGGGGAAGTTAATTTGCTCATTTACCCATCAGTCATTCTGCTTAGTGATCCAGGTATTTTCTGAGATATGTCAATGGCATTGACCCCAGGGAGCCACCTCCCTGGGTGCTGTGAGATAATCACCTGAGTGAATTTGCCCAGCAAATAGTTGACAGTAATCCAGCCATAGGCACCTTCCTCCTGGCCACTGATGATTCTGGCACCTTGGAAGTCAAAGGGGTACTTGTTGATGCTCTTTGCAACCACATTCAGGATCTTGTCTGCCATCTGTTGATTTTCCATTCTGCACAAAGAGCTGAGGTTACTGGTTTTGTTTGAATAACTACAACTACCCACTGCAGCCAGAGCTTCCAGCCTGTGCTACTAGGAAGCTGAACCACAAACTCAATGGAATAAACAGATGGCTGGAGATCCCCACACATGGCTGTCTGAGGAGCCCTCCCTTGGGGTGAGGCATAACTACTCTTTTGGCCCCCTCTTTCCAAATCCAAATCCTTCCAATCCCTATGTAGGTTGGTCCTCTTACTTTTTTTTTTTTTTTTTATGAGAAACAAAGACCATACAATAATTTAGTGTACAGGATTTAATCCTGATTTTCACAAAATAATAAAAGTACTTAAATATATTTTTAAAAGTCTTTACAAATTCAAAGCACTTTGAATAATAACAGAAATTTCAGATTCGGATTCGCCAAGATAAAATTCTCCCCTGCAAATTTTCAAATGAAAGAGACATTTGGTCGGCTTGAAATAAAATCCTAAGAGCACCACATCATAAAAAACAAAGAAACAAATTTTAAAAATACAGCTGTAACCAGAATGATGCCCGTAAAATTCAGTAGTAGTAATTATCATTAAAAATGTTCTGTTCAGTTCAGTTCAGTCACTCAGTCGTGTACGACTCATTGCGACCCCATGAACTGCAGCATGCCAGGCCTCCCTGTCCATCACCAACTCCCAAAACTTGCTCAATCTCATGTCCATCGCCGTCCAACACTCTCATCCTTTGTTGTCCCCTTTTCCTCCTGCCTTCAATCTTTTCCAGCATCAGGGTCTTTTCCAATGAGTCAGTTCTTCATCTAGCTGGCCAAAGTATTATAGCTTCAGCTTCAGCATCAGTCCTTCCAAAGAAATGTTCTGAGAAATCCCCCAAAGCCTTTGAAATCAGCAAAGAATGATAAAGGGCATTCTCAACCTAACCTCAGAGGATAAATGCAAATATAAGCTTTTTAATTTTTCAGAAGCATTTGTGTTGATTTTGTAGTTCTTAAATGCTATATAGGATTCACTGCTGCTGCTGCTGCTAAATCACTTCAGTTGTGTCCGACTCAGTGTGACCCCATAGACAGAAGCCCACCAGGCACCCCCATCCCTGGGATTCTCCAGGCAAGAACACTGGAGTGGGTTGCCATTTCCTTCTCCAAGGTTGGTCCTCTTAAAAGACCATTTTCATTGCTGTTGCCTGGCTCCAGGAAATTATCAGAGTAATTTTAATTACTGTGATGGTGGTAGCTGGATATTGCTTGATCACCAAACCTAGAGCTGAGGTGTGCTACATTAGCTATTGATGGAGGCTTTGAGCTGCTTACACAGCCTCAGGACTCTCCTTGAGGTTTTTAATTAGGGCTCCAGTAAATTCCAGGTGGTAAACATCCTGAGACAGATAACCAAGCTCAGTTGGTGCCAGACTGGTTAAAAAACAAAAAAACAAAAAAAAAACCTTCCTCATATTGTGCCTTGGTTTTGGGGTTTGAAATCTTGAGATCTAAAGTAGAAATCTTCCAGGGTTGTCATAATGAAGATGGACTACAACTGCTTTCACCAAGGATTGCATGCTCAGCCGTGTCTGACTCTTTGCGGCCCCATGGACTGTAGTCCACCAGACTCTGTCCATGGGATTTTTCAGGCAAGGATACTGGAGTGGGTTACCATTTCCTTCTCCAAGGGATCTTCCCAACCTGGGGTCAAATCCATGTCTCTTGTGTTTCCTGTATTAGCAGGTGGATTCTTTTACCACTGCACCACCTAGGAAGCCCTTCCAAGATCTAGGTAATACAATACTGAGAGTCTCTGGGTCAGAAAATGCTGCCTTCCAACTGGCATTAGACTCCATAATTTCTCAGTTGAATGCCTTCCATACCCTACCAAGTGGGCTCCTTATCCCTAGTTTTCCTCCTTTCCAATCCACCCCTCTACCAATGTGCATGGTACACTGCATGGCAAATAGAAGGGGAAAAGGCAGAAGTAGTGACAGATTTCCTCTTCTTGGGTTCCAAAATCACTGTGGATGGTGACTGCAGCCATGAAATCAGAAGACGTTTGCTTCTTGGTAGGAAAGCTATGACAAACCTAGACGTGTGTTGAAAAACAGAGACATTACACTCTGCCGACAAAGGTTTGTACAGTCAAGGCCATGGTCTTCCCAGTGGTCACATACGGTTGCGAGTGTTGGCCCACAAAGAAAACAAAAACCAAAGAATTGATGCCTTCAAACTGTGGTGCTGGAGAAGAGTCCTGAAAGTCTCTTGGACAGCAAGGAGATCAAACCGGTCAATCTTTAGAGTGATAAACTCTGATACTGGAAGGAGTGATACTGAAGCTGAAGCTCCGGTATTTTGGTCATCTGATGCTAACAGACTACTCATTGGAAAAGTCCCTGATACTGGGAAAGATTGAGGGCAGAAGGAGAAGAGGGTGTCAGAGGACGAGACGACTGAATGGCATCACCAATGCAATGCCAATGAACTTGGGCAAGCTCCGGGAGATGGTGAAGGTCAGGGAGGCCTGGCGTGCTACAGTCCATGGGGTTGCAAAGAGTCAGACATGACTGGGTAACTGAACAACAACCTGTGTCACCAGCTGTGTAGCATCCTTTCATGGCTTCCCATTATTTCCCAGATAAACTCCAAACTCCTTGGCATGGCCCATGAGGCACTTTGTGATTTGAACCTTGCCCTCTCGGAGTCCCACTCAGAACCTGGTTCGACCACTTGCCAGATGTGTGACCTTTGGTGAGTTCCTCAACATCTGTACACCACAGCTTTCTTAATCTGGTTAATAATAGCTAATGGTACCTCTTACTTTGTAGAGTTACAGAGATTAAAACATAGTGCTGAGAACATAGGAAGGGCCCAGCAAATACAAGCATCTACCACTATTATTGTCACTATTGATATTTACCCTATGCACCCTGTGTTCCATTTGCGCAGAACTGTCTATAGTCCTCTGAACAGGCCCTGGTCTCTCACATATCCCTCCTGGGAACAGTGATTAGAACACAAGATCCATGAAAAGGAGGGACTTGTGCCTGACATATAATAGGTGTCCAACAAACATAGGTTATGTAATACATGACATTTACTTGGCCTGTGATGCCCTTCTCCCAACCTCCAACAAGCCCTCAATGATTTGGTTCATGTACTCCTCCTCTGGTGAGTCTTCTTTATCTCCTCCTATCCTTGGCAGGGACAGGTATGCTCCTATAGCAGCTCTGAGCACTCCTCTAGCAAAGAATTGGTCACCCTGTATCAAAACTCGGATCTTGGGAGATGAATAGTCTTCTCCCATGTCCTGGGACAGAGAAGGCGGTCACTACACAGTGAATGAACGAATGAACAAACAAACGGAAAAAAAAATGCCTAATAGGTACTAAGCGGTGACCAATAATGATGTGCTGTGACGATACGTGTCTTGGGACATCTGTGATCTCCTCTGGGTCTCCTACTCCCAGATATGGAATGGCTGCTAAATCCGTTACCCCAAATCTCAGAGTACACAGGCTCAATCTTTGTCTCCTTGCGTCATCACTCCCTTGAATTCTCTGTGGGGAGATCAGCAAGAGGGCTTTTTTTTTTTTTAACATATGTAAAGTACCATTATTATACATACAAAGACTTTGGGAATATTATCTGTTCACTGAGATTTTCTTTCTTAGGTGTGGACATTTAGCATATCTAGAATTGTGTTAAGAAGTGTGGCATTTGCTCATAGTTGAGAGGCTCTAGTGCAACCAAGCCTAACTCCCAGCAGCTCTCAGCCCCTACAGGCTGTGATACCTGAGCAACCGCATGCCGGCCGTGGCGCCCAGGTAAACAGGAGTTTCTGGGTGCTGGGCTGATGGGATCACCTTCCTGGCTCTTTCCATGCACGCGGTCAGATAAACATTGATTTCCTGTAATTTCTTAGCAAAGCCTGAGATTCCGGGACCTAGAAAAAGATGTATAAGCAGATGAAAATTGTTTTTAAAAGTAAAGGACATATCGTCACATTATTAGAGAAAATAGTGATGTTTTCTGAGAAAATGCAAGCAGATAATTTTTTTTTTTTTTTTTAATATTTATTAGGTTTTGGTGGGCTTCCCAGGTGTCGCAGTGGTAAAGAATTCACCTGCCAAGCAGGAGACCAAGCAGGAGACCCAGGTTTGATCCCTGAGTTGGAAAGAGCTAGAGATAGAAAAGGCAACTCATTCCAGTATTCTTGCCTGGGAAATCCCATGGACAGAGGAGCCTGGCAGGCTACAGTCCACTCCGTTGCAAGTCAGATGTGACTTAGCAACTAAACAACAACATTAGGTTTTGTTACTTAAAGGGTAACTCACTGAATCTAACCTTGGTAGGATTTATTGTCACACCTCGAGCTAGTTTTGTTTGCTGTTCAATAATTTTGCCACTGGATGGTGCAATTTTCACATTCAATGACATAACCTTCCTAAAAACAGGCTCTCAGATTTTAATGGGGATATTATAGATAACTATATATAGCTGCTTTATGATGTTTCTTCCACAAAATTGTAGTTAGAAACACTAATTCCTAGAAGCCCAGAAAGATGAAAGTTAACATTTAGAATAAAAATTAAAATATTCACCAGGCACATGGGCTTTTACTGAAAAGATAGGAATGGCTACTAACTGGCTACGTAATTGTGGCCTGTCCCGTAAAATTTCTGAAGCAAAATTTCTTCCTTTGTTAGAAAAAACAGGAATAGTATCCATGATTCCTCAGCAATTTTCCCATTCTCGATATCCTGACTGCCTAGCAAAACTGTTTATCCAGTTTTAGAGCCTTTTAAACTGTTGTTATGGAGAGGATTAGAGCCAAGATTCCTTAACTTTTTTGAAGTTAGTACAACAATTTTGGCTCACTCTAAGCTAAAAATCTACATTTTCAATGCTTTATAATAAGGATTTGCTTTACAGTAAGTATCCAGATCTTATCCATCTGCTGATATTGTTTAGTTGCTAAGTGGTATCTGACTCTTTGTGACCCATGGACTGTAGCCCGCCAGGCTCCTCTGTCGATGGGATTCTCAGGCAAGAATGCTGGAGTGGGTTGCCATTTCCTTCTCCAAGGGATCTTCCCAACCCAGGAATTGAACCTGCATCTCCTGCACTGGCAGAGGGATTCTTTACCACCTAGCACCTGGGAGGTCCCTATCTTATCCATATCATTCACCAGTATCATTCACCAAATTTTAAACAGCCTGTCCACTTCACTGTAATAAGAAAAATCAGCTCCAAGTTATCAGCTAACTGTTTTGATTCCAAAAAGTCTGGCCTTCAGTAACTAGTGGCTCTCAACTCAACCTTTCTGTTTAAATATTTGATTAGAGAACTCTCTCCCTTTCTCTCTTTTGAGAAGGGAAAATTACTGCATTTATTAGGCCAAATATGCATGGAATAAGTCTCCATAGATAGCTGCTAGGTTAACACAGCAACACTACTTTAAGAAATGGAAGGCAGTGAATAATTAAATAGAAGTCAATAAAATGAGGGATTCGGGTTTTAAGAAATGTTTGAAATACTATCTCAGAATTTATGGGACCAAACTGAGGACATTAGGCACTGGGTACCATGACTCGCTGTCTTAGAAACACCTCCTATTTACAGTTTTCCTGACAAACTGTGAAAAGTCAATTATCTCCTGGGGCATGGGTAACCTGTCTGACTAAAACTAAACAGTAGGTCCCTGGCTCCAAAGGCCAAGAGAGAAGTCCGAAGATGACAGTGCTATGTGGTAACATTTGGTGCATGCTGGAGTGTTGGATGGGAGGGAGCAGAAGGAGCTGTTGTCAACAACTCTGTCTTGTTTTGTGACCTTAAAAGAAAACTGACTAGGAAAAAAACTCAGCATGCAATGCCGAGTAGCAGGAAACCTGGAGTTGTAACTAGGAGGTGAGATTCTTTTTTTTTTTTAATTTTTCATTTACTTTTAGTAGTTGGAGGCCAATTATTTTACAATATTGTAGTGGTTTTTGCCATACATTGACGTGAATCAGCCATGGAGGCGAGATTCTTGTCCTAGATCTGTTCCTACTTGCAAGTCACTTGACTTTCAGATTTTTTGCTTCCTTTTCTGTAAAACAAGATTTCAGTGATCCACAGGATCTTTTTTGCAGCCCTAAGGGTCTATGATTTGCCTGCTTATACAGAAGCTAAAGGCTTATAGAAATTTCTTCCAAGCCTCAAATTATAGGACAAAGATTGAAAGCAGCAGTTCTCTGGACCAGCAGCATCAGCATCACCTGGGAGCTTGTTAGAAATGCAAACTCTCAGACCTTGTCTCAGACCTACTGACTCAGAAACTCTGGGGTGAGAGCAGGCATCTGTGGTTCTGATGCAGGCTCAAATTTGAGAACCACTATCTAACATGTGGGTTTAAAGTTGTGCATATCTTTGCCCAGCAAAGGAAACCACCAACAAAAATAAAAGACAGCTACTGAATAGGAGGAGATATTTGCTAATGAGATGACCGATAAGGGTTTAGTTAAATTGGAGATCTCAGTTTGAGCTCCAGTTCCATCACTTACTAGCTCAAGTAACCATAAACAAGTGGCATAACTTCTTGAAACCTCAGTGCCCTCATTAAAAAAAAAGAAACAAAAAACAAAAAAAAACAACAGGAATACATTCCTTATAGGGAGATTGTGAGGATGAAATAACGCATTTTCAGTACTTGGTGCATAGCACACAGAAGTGTCCTGTTGACGGGAGCTATTACCCAATTATTCTAAAGTTTATTTTTCAAGGGCTTTATCATTAAGGACTGATTCCAATACTATTTTATAATGATAATAAATTATTTCTAAAATAGCAACAATAGCAGGTCCACTACGTTCTCACTTGACGTCTTTTCCTCGTGTGTTTCACTTGTCACATGCCTCTCGTTCTCTCGTGCCCACTGTCTCCCAGCCCCTTTTTCTCCGTCTTACCTTTTAGCTTGCATTCTTCTATCTGAGTCACCACCCCCGTGTCATTCTCCTTTTCTGCCGGCCATCTATAGATGTACAAATTCGTGTGAGAGGAGCCCGCATCCAGCACAATCCCAAACTGAGGGCAAAACAAACCGAGAACTTGTCAGCATTACATCGTCCTTTTCCACATTCAGCTTGCAACAGAAAGGATACAAAGACAGGGGCTTTCAGAAACAGGAGAAAGTATTTCAACTCATGGTGAGGGTGGGTCGGGTTTTGAGGGAGTGAGTGTGTGGAGTTGTGCTGATCACAAGATCTACCAACACACCAGTCCCTCTAGAACTATGGCTCTCAGCGTGAGCTGCACATTAGCAATATCCAGGCTTTACCCAAGGAGGGGCCTGCCATTGGAAGCTTCTCAGGTGATCAATATACTGAACTAGCTGAGACAATAGAAAGGGAATAGAAAGCAATTAATCCATCAGTTCCCAAGCCTGGAATCATGTTAGAATCATCTGAAGAGTTTCAAAGGCTACTGCTGCCAGTGTCTGACCCCCAGATTTGTGATTTGATTGGACTGGTATGTATGAGGTCTGGAAGAGAGATATTGAAAATATTAAGTGTACCTGTTTTTTTATTACAAATATAACTATAAATTGTATTCAATAAATTTTAAAAGATTTGTACTTTGATTTCATGATTTTGGTTCTTAAGCATAGAAGCCTTGGAAGGAAGAATAAATAAAGCAAAGGAAGAGGGTAGAGGAGGAAGGGTAAGAAGACAATAAGAGAAAGAATGAGGTGGCCAGAACAGAAAATTGCCACTTCATATTTCATGAGGATGGGAAATGCACCAGCAAGTGTTGTGAGGAGTATTCTATAAGAATTATCTGACTTAACCTTCAGTGCTATAAAGTATGTACTGTTTTCATCCCCAATATACAGATGAGAAATGAAAGTACAAGGATGTTAAGTAATTTCCTCAAGATACAAAGTGATTAGGTGATGGAGCCTGGATTTGGATCAGAGTTAGACCTAACAAAGGCCTTGTGTTTCTAACACAGAGGAACAGAGGAGCAAGGTCTGGACAATAGTTTTCCAATTGGTGCCTCATTGAAAGGACTTCTAAAGAGGGATGACTATAGCAAAGTGTCCTGATAAATTTTTGCACATATGCCCATCCATATAAATCACCACCAAGATGAAGGTCAGTTCAGTCGCTCAGTCGTGTCTGTTTGCAACTCCATGAACCACAGCATGCCAGGCTTCCCTGTCCAACACCAACTTCCGGAGCCCACCCAAACTCATGTCCATTGAGTCAGTGATGCCATCCAACCATCTCATCCTCTGTTGTCCCCTTCTCCTGCCCTCAATCTCTCCCAGCATCAGGGTCTTTTCAAATGAGTCAGCTCTTTGCATCAGGTGGTCAAAGTTTTGGAGTTTCAGCTTCAACATCAGACCTTCCAATGAACACCCAGGACTGATCTCCTTTAGGATGGACTGGTTGGAGCTCCTTGCAATCCAAGGGACTGTCAAGAGTCTTCTCCAACACCGCAGTTCAAAAGCATCAATTCTTCGGCACTCAGCTTTCTTCACAGTCCAACTCTCACATCCATACATGACCACTGGAAAAACCATACCTCGACTAGATGGACCTTTGTTGGCAAAGTAATGCCTCTGCTTTTTAATATGCTGTCTAGGTTGGTCATAACTTTCCTTCCAAGGAGTAAGCGTCTTTTAATTTCATTGCTGCAATCACCATCTGCAGTGATTTTGAAGCCCAAGAAAATAAAGTCTCTCACTGTTTCCACTGTTTCCCGATTTATTTACCATGAAGTGATGGGACTAGATGCCATGATCTTAGTTTTCTGAATGTTGAGCTTTAAGCCAACTTTTTCACTCTCCTCTTTCACTTTCATCAAGAGGCTCTTTAGTTCTTCTTCACTTT